TTTAAAAAGTCAAATATGAACTTACTTCAGTTTCTTTGTGCTGTCTCCAAGTTGTATTGAATCTTTTTAGTACTAAAAATGTAGTTTTAAAGAATCTCTGCCTTTTTAAGTAGTTTTCGAAACAAAACACCCTTCCTACGTTTTCATACTTCTTCGGCTGACTTGTTCATGGATTTTTTCATAATGTTTTTGCAAAGCTAAAACTTCTAAATGCAGTAAACATGACAAAATCTTATGCGGATTTCCTTAAGAACTTATTAAGCGCCTTCTTTTGAGTCGAGTTTCAAAAACTTTACAATAATGGTTTTGTTGAAATGCTACAGTGCAGCGTACTGTAGAACGTGACTGGAAGACTTCTGATGGGATGTGCAATGTCCGGCCTACTCCCTTTAGTGGTCTTTACGTTGCGTGAAGAGACTGTCTTTTGTACTCTTTTTCGTCTTCTTCCTGCTCCACTACCGACTCGTACAATTCGTTTATGTGCGTGTCGCTCCCGTCCCCATGTACTCTATCCATCGGATGTTTTTGATTACCGGTTTTGGTCATGTTGCTTTTTGTTGACGTTGTATATGGTATGACACGTTTTGTCGACGAGGCAGATGCGCCAAAACAGCCCTATATGAGAGAGTGTGTTCGAAGCAGCTGATGCTTCATGGACTCGGAGTGGACCCTGTGATTTGCGGCTGATGTGATCATAACATCGTCAAAAGCTCACATCGGGCGATTACTGCAGCGAGCCTGTGTATTTCGCTCTGCTCTTCATTTTGTAAATAACTAGGATGTTGTTCGGATCCACTCCCTGTCCTACCTACTCCTTCATCCCTTCGAGTTCGGCCATATTAGTACCAGGCCAATCTTGGAGTACGAATACATCTACTCGAAGCGTTAGTGGGCAAGCCCTCAAGTTACTGTATGGGTCAAATTTGCATTCGATCATCTCTACGATGCTGCACTTCAATGCGTGACATATCGCTGAAGGATTGATAAGCTCAGTTTACAGTCATCCTCGAGAACTCTGAAAACAAAATAACACCCTGACAAATTACATTCGATGTACTTGTGCTTTAACTAAAATTATCGTAGGACATCTTTAGAAAAATTTACGGCGGAGGATGTCCAGGGAATATAATAGAAAGTAACACCGCGACCTAATCGCAGCGTTTGATAACTGGAGTGCATCCAAATATCAATCAGGAAGTGGAAACCATGGTGCACAACGTTTCCAGTCGGTATTATCCACGTCGGTTGTTGCGCAACGGTGTTCGGACCGGTCGCTGGAACATCGTGTCGATAGTGCAGGACTGGAGAAGTTTATTGGCAACTAAAAAGTGGATCCTTAACATCTTAAAACTAGACTCTTGGTTGATGATTGTGGGTTTTAGAGGTTATGAAGGATGGCATTGGCATAACTGCGTCCCGTCAGTGCGTCACGGCCACACAGCCGTCCTTCTCTGAATCTCTTCATTGAATTTCATCTCTTTCGTTTCGAATTGAAGCATCGGCGTCACAGAAACACACAATACTCATAAAAAGTGCTCATGGGCGCCCCTTATTCAGAGATTCGTCACTCTTGTCAGCCGGTATCTAGATGACATATGAAGCGTTAGGTTAAACTCCAAACCTTATCGACTGTTCCGGAGCTTTTCTTAGGCTCTTGTTTAGCCGTATTCGCAGCACCGCTGATCCTGTATGTCTGTTTTTGTAGCAATGGCAGTAGGAACTTAGTCCAAAATCATCTTCCGCTTTTCAACCATATGCGAAATGATGACTTAAAATAAATAAATGCCTTTCCAATTTTTTTTAAAGCTCATAGTAAGCAACTCATCCATATGCTGTTCTTCATCTACGCACCCCTCGGCTTTCTTCTGGTGTTCTTGCGCAGCTTTCACTAGCTTCTCATTCGCTTAAGCGCTTTCGGCGGAGCTTTCGCTTTCCCCGAAACGGGTATGCGGCAACAAGTCCTCGTCCGTTACTGCGACTTACACTGCTGTCGTTATTTCGCTCTTCATGGCGATGGCGTAACCGTGCCCAATCTCTGCTAAGCGGCTGGATGGACCTGTTTCGTTTTCGAACACCGACTATGTTTTGAAAAAGTATCCAAGTAGACCGGAGCCTATTTTCAATTTTCCACTACGATTCTGTTGGCACCAGTGCCATTAAGATACTAGCTCAGGAGCTGAGGGACCAACCAGGTCATAGTTTTTCCCATCACTGGCTTTTCCCAGTAGACACCTATTGTCTAAACTGCTTCATTCTTGGAGATTTTTGCTAGTGTCAACTTCAGAGGATCTATAACTCGACCGTTTTTTTCTTAAGAATGTGTGGTCAACAATTCATATTTAAGTATGGTATCATAATTGTATCAGGCTGCTGTTGTCTCATGTTGTAACTGTGTGAACTATGAATAGTTTATGAGTTCCTTGCTGGTGTTCCTGTTTGAAGTTGTTATTGTCTCATGGCACAAGTCGGACGATATATCAGAAAAATTCTCTGCTGACCGCCCGTCGTTCCTTCCGCATCAACTCGTCATCAAGGCCTTTCCACTTTGAGTTTTTCAGCGAACACTCTATAAGAGAGCGTGAATAGCTAGTAAAAATTGAAGATATCTGCCATTTTACCTCGAGTGGAAGTTGGGACAGTTAACAGTTCATTCAAATACATTTTATCACCTGCTATTTCTATAAGCGTCGCCTATACTAATATTTCTAACGCTTTTGTTTCTGTGGCAAGCGTTATCATTCTGTTTGTAGGCAGAAGACGGATTCTTCAAGAAGATCAAGCAAAGGGAGGTCTATGAGGACCTACTCTTATCGGCTTCTCAAACCAAAATCATACATCGGAGTTCTTACGAGAACTTCACTTTTTCTTTCACGTATTTTACATAATCCGTGACCACTCTAACGTTTCGATTTGATTCTCAGCGAAAAACTTCTCTCTTTGGCCATTCTGTACTTTGTGTGTTTTCATTTTTGTTCGCTATCTCGTCAGAACAGCAATTTTGTCCACTTTTTGATTGGGAATCTTTTGCTCGACGTGTGATTTAATAGGTCCATTGGGGGATTCTTAGGGATCTGCCGCTCTCTGAAGTTACTACGTTGTCGATCGATTTGTCTGTCGGTCGAATGGCTCGGTGTGGCATTGAAATTGAATCGTCCGGCTTCTGCATGTTATTTTGTATGTGCTGTGTAATGCATGTATATATGTAGTTGTGTGTATATATATGTGTTTGTATGTGTATGTATCTACGTGTATGCGTTTTCATGTGTATCCAGTTTCGCTTTCACTTTTTGCCACTCGGCGCATAATGCGGAGCTTCCTGGCTACTGAAAACCACGTTCTCAACCCTCTTTTTCATCACTATCATTGGATCATCCTTCACTGAATCCTGCCGGATTGTCGCTGAAATCTCATACAGCAATCTAGGAGTGAATTTTACTACTCTTTACGTCTTCAGAATAATTATCTGGTCACATATTCCGGACTATTTGTCAAAAGAGTTCTCTAAAGGTCTCGCAAATTTCTGTTAAGATTGTTTGCAAATTGGAGAGAACAAACGAAAAAACAATTGAAAGTTATTCAGTCTGCAGACGATTAGTCGTTATCATATGTGATCTCCATGCTTTTCAATGCTGCTGTGTTCTCGATGAGAGTTTAAAGGACTGCAATGAGCTTATCATATGGCTTAATCGTTGCGTAACATTCAGCGTCCTCAGACAGTTTCTTCCTGTTGGGATGATGGGACCAGCTACAGTTGTCATAGTGTCAGTAGTCAACAATCGAAGGGCACGTAGAGGGACCATTATCATGGGGTTCTCTCTTGCTCCCGTGGATCCACATATGTCCGCGTTTACAAGTAGACATCGATTGCTGTGTGTGCCTATGTGCCATCTGTTTCACAGCAGCATACTGACTGACTGACCAAACGTGTAATGAACTTTGATCGTCGTCGCTGCCTCGTTTTCCCGCATGCCTCTCTCCCACATTTGCCGGACGGCGTTTTCGCGGGCGTTTGTCACCCACCGATGCCGATATTCGCATAGCCAAACTGATCATTTAAAGTCTTCTCCAGGGCAAGTGTCATTGATCTGTAACTAAAAACCTTTTTTTCGGAAGAAATTCTTGACAAAAATCTCATCCATTCCGGTTATCTCACTTTTAAATATCCTTTTTTTCGTTATGTTATTCAAAGTTATTTTCGTTACGTTGTTTCTCCCTCGATATTCGAGTTTCATAAGTTAGAACCGCTTACGTTTCATTTACAAGCTATAAAATGAACAACAGATGATGCAATGAAGCAATTCCCAGTATATCCATTAAATCGACAAGTTCGATCGGATATCTATCGGTCTGTGCATTGCGATTAGAGCGCGGTAATCGTCATTCGTCGATTCCCGCCACCGTAATCCGCTCGCCGTAGTCGTCGTCGTCGTCTTCGTCGTCGTTGGCTGTGGCTGTGGCGGTGGTGGTGGTGGTGGTCGTTACGTAACGAGGACCAGTCCGGTAGCAATTACGCGCAACCGCCAACCGGACACTTTCCCTCTCAATGTCTCGTTTTCGATGATGACAGTGCCACTTTTCGCTTGCTTTTTTTTCCTCTCTTTATCTCCGGGTTTTTTCTTTCTTTACTTCAGATTTGCAGTTATGTCGTAGGAGTCTTTTTTGTGATAATCAACGGATAAGCTGTGATTTAGAGGTGTACATAAGTTTATGCCATTTAAATATGAACTATCATATCACTGTGCAAGATGACTTGTAAATGACTACACTTGGTGGAATGGAGTTTGCCTATTGGTCAGTAAAAGTGCTACAATATGTTGTATATTGGGACTTCTTTTTTTCGAGAGCTATGGGACTTTGCTCTACAAATGGAGGCTAAGGCTGTAATCTCTACTACACTATAGCTTACCTTTATTCTCGGCTTCTACGTGTTGACTATCCCCAGTCCGCTGAGTTGTTTTCCCTTGTCCTTCTGTTCACACGTGGGATTGTGTGCGAGTTTGTCATTTCACTTCGCTTTTGCTTTTCACTTTCAACTCACCACCACTACCGTCACCAGCGGCGGCTATGGCGCAATCTGCTGGCAATCCATCGGTAACCGGTCCTAGGCAACAGTGTCGGTCGTCGTCACCAAAGATGGTGAAAGCCTTCAGATAACTCGTTTCTAAAGTGAAGACAAGTGAAAGTAATAGTGGGGAAAATTCGGCCACACATCACGTGGCTAGCCAATCTCACAACGTTCAGTGAAGTTCCCATATTTTTTAATGTTCAGCGTAAACAGACTCCCTAAGTGGTAGTACCACCGTCTAATGTTAAATGGTACTTTCTTATGTTGTGTGGATTCTGAACGAATCATGAATCAGTGTTGAAGAGCAGCCGCGACAAACTATTGTTTTGTCTAGTTCGACGACTCGATAACCGTCAGTCAGGCCAGCCAACCTCCGGCCGCTGCCACTCTACTGCACTCGATGACCATCACGATTGTTTCCGCAGTGTTTTCGTCCCAAATGAGTCTAGCAATCTGTTCTCTCCCAAATTCCTACTCTCGATGTCTCTTTCTCGTTCTTCCTTTCCTCCCATTTGTGTGCATTTGTGCGTGGTGTGTGTGTGTGTGTGTATGTGTGTGTGTGTTTGTGTGTGCATGTGTGTGTATGTGTGCGCGCGCGTTTGTATTGCAAAATGTATGTACGCGCAACAGCCGGCTGCGACTTATTCATGATCGTCTTTTGTGACGTCACGTCAAAAAGACCAAACAAAACACAAACAGAGAAAGGTCTCTAAAGTATTCCCGTGCTGGCGGCATTTCAGCCGATTCCGCTCCCAGAACGTTTCCGCAGACCACTTTCCGCATCGCACTGGTCTGACTAGCCAAACTCCCTAGTCTGATGCAGAACATGTATGATTGATGGCGATTGTATTATCGCTAGGTACACTGAATTCATCTGATAGCTCATCAGTTCTGCTTTTCATGTTCTGTTCATCGCAAAACAACCCGATTCTCTGAGTTGAAGTATTCTGGAGCGAAAATAAAAGTTTTGAAATAGAGAGGTTTTGAAAACTTTTGTCAACACAATCATAGTGCATGCCGAATAGGTTCACGGAAAAAGGAAGTTCTCGCAAAGGAGTGGTTTTTGGTGGAAATTCTGATTTGTAGTAATCATTATTTATACGAACAAAGCTAAGCTCTAAACATTTTTATGTTTAGAGAATGATGCAAATCACATTTCCAACGAGTAAATCGTCGTCGATGCCATATGCTATCAGAGGTAACCAGTTGGAAGTAATGTGTTACTGCGTTGTTTTATTGTCAGGATGTCCGCGTTGGTCCATCATTCTGGTCCTTTCTTCTGATGTCGTTTTCTTATCAGGCGTTATCATTTGCTGTGTGTATGCGTATGTGTGTGTCTGTGTGGGCAACCTTAAATGTTTCTATCTGCCAGTCGCCCTTTGAACACGGAAAAAGCACGTGGTAGATCCAGGACAAGCACTTGGATTTCGGCATATAGTTCTGGTTGAATTTGAGAAGTCCCGGATACCTAAGTACTTAACTGATTGGGAAATGACTAAAGAAGATTACATTCTTTCCAAACACCAGACTGGACATCATATTCGCTGGAATCTGTTAGGATTTTACAAACGATTTTAATAAATTCAGTCCTATTCTGACTACGATAATCCACTGTTTACTTTCATATTTACTTCAGAGGATTATTGTGTATATTTGGGAGGGCGAGGGAATGATTCAAATTTTAACACAAAAATAACAAAGCTTGCCGCCAAATACACGATTCATGCTAGTTCGTACCTAATCCATCCATCCACTCGTGTATTTTTTGATTTATGGGGAATGCAATGTTGTATCTCTTCAAGGAAAATCCAGGAAAAACAGTACCATTCTAATAAAATATACGATAATTAGCGATTAACTGGTCAAAAAGCGCTTTTTATACCTTCAGAAAACTTCCTTGTTACATCTCAGAATCACGTTGTTCAATAACTCCAGACATTCCACTTAATGATTTGCCGCAGATTTTTGCAAACGTCGAGCTGCGCCATTTAGCAAAGGATTATCACTCCCTGCCTAAGACGAGTACAAGTCCGGTATTTTCATTTCAATCCGAAGCCCTATGAGCTTGAACTGGATTAGTTTTCTACATGATTGACCTAACTGAGATGTTTAAGGCAAATGTCACATGCTTGCACAACAACCCATGACTACTGACTAATTTATTTAACCCAAAATCAAAGCGCCTCATACACGATAATTTCCTCTGTCAAACTAGGGACTGCATTGGCAGTTCTGCGAATGGAGGTTTTACAGGCACGCTCTCGTCGGATTATCCGATGACTGACGGAGGTAGTGGTAGTACAGTTGATACGGTTGAGTGTTGATCATCTGGAAGTACTCACCCAGTCTTTTAGTTTCACAGTTCTATTTTCTAAGCGTCGAAAGTGAAAGTCGTCGAGAAGTGATGCTGCCTCTTGCTTTGGTGGCATTGAAAGTTCCTTCCTTTCGACGGCGGCACGCGCGTTGCGCTACGCTTTTTTTGCTACATATGCGTTACGTAATGCCCCGCGCAACGACGGGAGGAGCGAAAGCGAGGACCGGTCTGTCTTTTTGCGTGGATCTCTGTGTGTATGTATATATCTGTGTGTATGTATATATGTCTGTGTGTGTGTGTGCCTGTGTGTGTATGTGTGTGTGCATGCTGTTCCTCAATCTGTGATTATATCCGTCAACCATTGGTCGAGTACTTTCACCTCTGACTCCGCCCTTCTTGTGGACAGTTCTCCGTCCTGCTTCTTCTGGTCCTATTTCGTTTTCGTTCGATAAATACTGGATTCTTTTAACGTAAAACGACAAACGTTTAGTTTCTCGTTGTTTTTTCTCAAGTTTACTAGTAACAAAGCTCGTTTTGTATCCTTGTACGTGTCCTATGTTGTTCCCTAGCTGAAACAACGACAGAATCCTGAAATCCACCACCTACCGTAACCTCATACCTCAAGTTCTAGTGCATGCGAATCATGCTTCATTATCTGTCTGGCATGTAGCAATGAAGTCAATCTAAAACTTTTATCTTAAGGTCGCCGTTAATGAATTCATGCCCACTCTGTTCTCTGTGAGATTCTCTAGGACTACATGCTACGTAGTTATACTGCCAAAAACGCATCACATCGGCCTAAATGGCTTTGCGCTAACTATCCTCATTAGTGGAAAGTATGACGATTGCGCAGTTCATGTTTCCGGGATGGCGCACGTTTCTTCTTCCATCGGATTTCGTTGGTGTTTGTTTGGGTTGTCCGGTTCGTGGGTGGCTTTGGCCGGTCTTCCGCGTCGTCAATCCTCCGGCAACGACCGGCACTTCCGCACTCCGTCCAACGCTTACATGCCGACGGTGTGTGTGTGTGTATATGTGTAGATGTGTACGTTTTTTTTTCTGATGGTTGTTGGTGAGTGGGCTTGAAAAATTTTGCTTTTATTTTAGTGTGTTGTATTTTTGGCGTGTTTTATTCAGATGCGTGTATACAGGGTGCGTGTGGCGCAGTGGTTGGAGGCGCCACTGCGGCACACTCGTGGAATCGATCCCAGCACCCATGGCCCACCATGCCTTTCATCCCTCCGGAATCGGCAAATTGGTACCAGACTTGTCTGGGAGGGTAGCAGCGTAGGCTTGATACATCGGTAAGCTATCACGAGTCATTTTAAAGGCCATATATGCATTCAATCTCCTCCAACTATACTTAATGAAGTCGAATGCATGGCACATCCCTCAGGGATTGATGAACGCCGGGAGGTTTTTTTTTATTTCTGTTCAGATGGGTGAGACTTCTATTACACATTATGAAAACATTTGTCATCTGATTTCGCTCAGCTATTCACTGATCGTTATTCTGAGCCATACTCACCAACAACTCAAAACAGTTCTGTTTTTCTCCGTGTATTTTTTTCCGAGAGGAAATATTACTTGTATCTATAGATCCAGAAGAGGCTCAACGAATACATTCCACAAAGTTTTCCGACATTCATTTGTTTTCGTGTCATACGCTTACATCCTCATCATCTTCATTCTGCTTACTCTTATTTCATATGGATTGCTGAAGTTTTCAGAGCGTGGTCCGTTCAGGTTACTGTAGGAAATGTAATCTTGGCGAATTTCATGCTGAAACATAACAGTGACCTATAACTTCTTCTCGTTTGCATTGTTAAGCCTCCATCCTTATCAGTGACGCGCAAGCACGCAACGAATCATCACTGATTTTTTTTAAAGCCCATTAAGGACTGCAACAATTTGTTTCTAACACTTAACTAAGGAGAACTTTCATGTTAACTGTTACTTTGTTTCATATACATAAGCGAGATCCCTGTATTAGTTGCCATTGTTTGTTAACTCGACTGAGAGGTACAGTACTCTTCTCTTTAAGTTGTAGAGTGATTGGCGTGTTGAAATCGCTTTCAAGATTAGCTTCCTCTTGTTGAAAGTAGGAGTGAGGAAAGAGGGGGACACTCGATTTACCTACATTGTTGTGCAGTTTCCTGTTTCTGATTCTCTGACTACATGCCTTTGTTTCGCTTACTATCTTTCTTATCTCATTGACACACCTTTGTGTCCTTTTTATTTCAACTTTGTCCATCAATGAATCGCTTCGGAATCGTATGTTACTTTTTCGAAACTCTGTAGATTATCTTTTATTTTCTTCTTCATTATCGCCTTTTTCTTTTTCTGCGGCTTCTTTTCTTCTTCATCTTCTTCATTTGCTTCTTCTTCTTCACCTTCTTGTTCTTGTATTCGCTACGATTTGCACATCAAATGCGTGATTGTAGACGTTATTTCGTTGTGCTCCGTTGTTCATTGCTTCTCTACTGCATCAGTGTTCGAGTCGAGACTTCTGTTCTACTGGTTTTCATTTCTTGCAGAACACATTCAAACTCGCTCACATTATCGTCGCACGACGAGGCATTGCCTCCCAATGAGATAGCAGAGGTCCTCTGTTCACTTTCTACCAGTTTTACTTGTTTCTCTTCCCAAGAAGATATACGATAAGAGCGAGAAAATGAAGACATGCGAAATCTGATCATTTCAATGATATTTTAATGTAGAACGTAGTTCAGTGTAGTAACTAATGAGTGTGAAGGAAAACTGGCGTAGAAGAACAAGCCTTCGGGAGATTTCATATGGGAACGGGGTGGGTACAACGATGTATCCAAAACAGCTCCGATTTTCAGGCATTTTTCGAAAATTCTTCTATACAATCAAATACTTTGACGGCCTCGGCTTCAAAAATACAGGAGAAGTGAATACGTTCGATGAATAATTCCTCACGGTCAAAATCTCAGGTCTGCTTTTTCTAAGTTTTCACTAGTAAAAATGAGCGAAGCTACTTTATGGGTCAAAATATGCTTGCGAAATAACTAACGTATATCAGCATAAAGCTTTTGTGTGCATTTATCAGATTAGAGTGTCGCCGACGGCTAATTGAAGTCTAGACGTCGTGGGATTTTCAGCGAATATCATTGAACGATGATAATAAGCGTTCCTTTCAGAATCTTTTCTAAAGCTGTTTACCTTATAAATTTTTTCTTTCCCTGTAGGTCGTAGACAGCGGTAGACGTCGACGAAAAAACGCTTGCGAGGCAGAAAATGAAACAGTCAAGGAGAGTGGTTAGTTGTTCATTTGTCGATGATTTTCGCATTGTAAATAATGTTAATGGTAGCTGTAGAGCACGTGTATATCACATCGGTTGGGGTGAAATGTAGGATTGAATCGTATAGCTTTTAGGAAGCACACCGATGGCTTCATCGGACAGCGGTGTCGAATCAGCGGCTGAAGTCGATCTCACTGAGATGAAGGTGAATGCCTCATTCGCGAAGTTTTTAGCCTTTTTCGTTTTTGGTTGAAATTTCGGTAATCAGAAAAATATGCACACTCACTACAAAAGGTGGTATCTTGTTAAGACTTCTTTAGAACGACACCGTAGTTCGTCGATGGGAGTGCTTGGTATTATATAAAAAGGAAACGCTAAAAAGCAACCGATATCCGATAGGCATTTGTAGCCCGAGATTGATTTAAGCGAATCAACAAATAGATTTCACTTTTCGTATCCCTGAAAAGGACTGGAAGCGAAGTGTTTCAGGCTACGGATTCACCGATGAGTCGTGGCGCTTCATCACCACGTGATCGTTGCGACCTGCTGTTGTGTGGTGATTGCCACGCACAGTTCCCGATTGCCCATTTCAGTGTCTTCATCGAACATAAGGTTTGATCGATTAGTCGAATTTATGTGTTCGAACGTTCGACGATGGTCATCGTTTTACATTCCAAATTGCAGGTATCGAGCTGCAGTGGGAAGACGGTACCATCTGAAGTCACCAACGGTCGGCATAGTCGTAGAGGAAACTTCGGTCACAGTGGGATGGTAACTATTCATTCTCTTCTGTTCGGACAAGCTTCTCGTCGGCCACTTTTCTTTTGTAAAATTTGTCTGAAAAACATTTTCACATGTAACACCGCATAACTGTAGTCTTGATAGCCAGAAGTTCAGAGACTCGACATAGATGAAAAGATAATTTGAAGCACAATACCGAAATTGGACACTTAGAGAATTCTGCTAAGAATTGGGATGGATTTCTAAGGCGACTTTTTTGAATTGATGAAAGCATATGTTTAGCCTCGATGTACTCGTTCGTCGTCGGCAAATCCGTTGATGATCAACTACCATATGACAAACATGGACGTCACCACCGACACTGACGATCTGGGTACGTCGTTTTTACCTCATTTGAGTTTATTGCCATTATGTTCGAATCAGATCGATCATTTTCGATTTCTCTTTGGTTCGGCGAGGAGACACGGCATGGTGTAGGTTTTGAGGAAACAGGCTGACAATTTCTCAAATTCAACGGGTTCGTACTCCCTTCTGTGGCAGCTGCGATCTTAGCAATTTTGGCAGTTCGCTACCGACCGCTTTTGTCTCACGAGATTATTGGTCAAGATGCGAACTTCGCATGTGATAGTGACTTGTTGAGCTAAACACATTACCAGTTCGTGTTGCACTATAACGCTGTCCTTCGTATTTCTCTATATGTACGTCGTTAAGCTTGCGAAGATTGCGAATGGTCTTGCGAATATTCGAAAATTCACAAAGATTCGATATAGTTGACGTTCAGAGCTTTTATATGGAACATTGACTATATTCTGAACACTCTATTACTTGTTTAGATATCATTTTTTGGTATGAGTGTGACTGCGGAACAACAGAATTACTCTTTACTCAGGATACGAATATTGTTCTGTATAGTCGCACCAAAAGATCATCGTTTGTTTACCTAATATCTGGGTATTGTTTCTGAAAAAGTTTCCAGGTTATGGTAAGTATGTCAACTCCACAGATTGTGGTTCGTCTTAGCCTGAAATTTGGGAAGTAAAACTTTTCATTACAAGTTCCCTATACTACTATGCTTTTCGGCTCCGCTTATTTCCAACTTTTGGTCCTCATTTCGACGCCGACGTTGACGATTTGACTTGGTTGTCCAAAAGATCGTACAATAATCACATATTTGCTTGAAATCTCGACCATCGACGGGGATACGGTATGCCATCATTGGTACTGTTGACTTGCCTCGTCATTCTCTCATCCTCTTCGCTGCGCTCTCTAGAATTCACCAGCTCTTTGGGGTTTTTCTGTCAGCCGCAAGCGCCAAATAATAGCCGGCGACCAGTTTTGACCGAGGGCACGCAATACTGAGCGACGCCATCGCTACTAGACTCGATTTTGAGGGGTAACGCTTCGTTTCGGCACTATTCGACAAAATTTCTATCACTCTGACAGTTTCGCTCCAGTAAAGGAGCAGCGGATGTCAAAGAAGAGCAGTGGTTCAGTAGTTACGGACTAGGGCAATACAGTTAAAATACTTGACTAATACAGTCTTTTTTCCCGAAGAATGGCAAAAGCTAAATGATTTGATAATCGTCGTCTCTACTCATTTGCCAACTACCACTGTTAGTAACTTGTGAATAACCTCTTTCTGTGAGGGTATTCTCGCGATTCTCTAAGTTTTTCAAGAATTCTAAAAGATATCATTCACGTGTCGTTTCCGGTAACGTTTTGCTTAGTAATATTGGATCATTTCGCTAATGAACAGCTGATTTCCTTGTACAGATGAAAGGAGTTTTTTTTTCAAAATCCGTAAACCACTTGGACCATCCAAGGTCTCCTACGTAACGCGTTTCTCGGCCTTCTCCTTGTTCAGTCATTCAATTGGGCACATTCATTCAGTACTTGTTGCTAATGTCAGTGATTTCGTCCTTGGAAATCGCAATTGCGCGAAAAACACACCGAGAGAGAGAGAGAGAGAGAGAGAGAGAGAAGATGTCGACTGAATTCAGATAGAGGTCAGGGGTCAGCGATTGATTGATATATGTTTGTCGCTTTCTGCCAACTTTTCCGAGGATCAGTCGAATGATCCATGAACTGCGGCAACACCTTGCTGTCGGCCAACTGGCTAGTGCCTACACTTGTTGACGAGGACTACGACTGGCCTTCCTACACATTATCATCGGGAATTAATCTAGTGTTTTAAAAATACACATAAGAAACTAATCGATAGCGATCAATTCTTGCAGAATAGAGAACGATAGTGTCCGTCCATAGTGAAATGTCTGGATGGCTGAGCACACATTGTCCAATGTTTGCTGGCATGAAAAGAAGAAAACGCGCACGGGGGGTAGTGTCAGAGAGAAAGCGGCAGTGACTTATTGGACGCGGTCGTCGATCAAATTAACCCATCCAGCAGTACCGCCTATAGAACAGCGTTGTGCTCACTGAGAGCGTATCAAAGCGATTGATAGACATCACTTTATGTTCATCTCCTGTTTTAGTCCTTCACTCAAACCTAATTTTAAGGTATATTCCATGAGTCTGTTCTGAATTGACACGCATAGTTTCTTATCACTAAACTTTCCAGCGCGTAGTCATAGCACACGACTTGTTAGTTCAACTTCAATTTCGACTTTCTTCAGTACTTCGGGACTGCAATTGGTCTCAAAACCTCCGAACCCCGGAAAAATGGTGGAGCAAGCGGTTGTAAATATGACGATGTTTGCAATCCAATCCAAACGATCGACGCTGCGACAGAGCGGGAAAAAAGAAACGCAAATAGAAATCCATGGCAAACAGGCGCGCCATCGCGTGAACTTCACATAGGAAACTCACGGACCACCTATGACCGCATCTCCAAGGAGAAAATCACAGTTGAGTGAGGGATGTGAATGTGAACGTTTTAAATTTTCATCGGGAAGATGGTGTCTGAACAGAATCCTCCAGACCCAGAGGCTGGTGTAAAGAAAAGAGAAAGCTGACGTAGTGTCGGTAGGCCATGGTGATTTTGATTTTTTGGAGCTTACAAGAACAACGAATCCTATTATGATGCAAGTTACTTTTCCACTTTTAAAACAGATTAAAGTTCGCTAATAGTTTTTATGTCTATTAAGAGAATTAGCTGTGGTGTGGGATATATTGATTGAAAGTTGGAAATGTTTATTTTTGCACGGTATGAATTGAAATCAATGCACCTGGTTCGTTACGTGTTAAATAACGAAATGCGTTCTCACTGTCTTTTTTTGCCCATTTATATTAGTAGTGTTTTGTCAGTGAACCTTAAAGAAATCCCCTCTTCGGCAGTTTCATGGGAAAAACATCTCTTCTTGTTGAAGTCAAGAAGTTCCCTTAACTCTTCAACTTATACTGGTGTTGCATAATCCAATCACTTCGATGTCGTTACATAACAGCATGGGTTCTACAAATTCATAGACCATGACTATGTCGAAAATGCGCTGCGAGTCTTCAAATGTGAGCAAATTTAAAAGAAAAAAACGGTTCATAGGGAAAAATCGGAAGGAACTCTTGCAGTATCAACGACGCCTAAAGTTTCTTTCCTAATTGTTGAAGATTCTTGGAGTCACAGGTCGCACGGAATCCGCAAGCGGAATATGTTTTATTTCTGAGAAGTTTATGAGATTGGTCGCTTTCAGATTCGCTAGCGAGAAGTGTCACCTGTCACTCGTGCAAGCAACGACATAACGACATCTGGGAACTGTTAAAGCACTGCTACACCGCTCACGGCCTTCGTGTTTGTCAGGTATGCGCAGGTGGACGAGAGTCTATGAAAACGAAATTTTTCATCATCTCATTTTCACTTATTAATTAATTAACTGTGCCCCAAATGACAGTGGGCGGTGGTTAGTCATTCTTCTCACATGATTGCTCACGACGTTCGCTTTTCTCATGCGTTTCTGAGAATAAATTTTCATACATCTGGTTGGAAACATTCACTCTTTAAAGACATAAAAGCATTTGGCATTGGTCAATCACTTATGGTATGGATATGTCATGCATTGGGCTCCATTAAGCATCATGCGGGTAACTAAATGCACACTTAGCCCATCTGTGGGTGACCTGTGGGTGTCTATCAATGTATCTCTCAGTGTCTTTGTCCTCTTAGATAATTCTAGCACAAATTGTCCTACCCGCAGTAATATGGGTTTGATTAGTCCAGGGCATGGAATTCAACCAATTAGTAAATATTTGTGCATTCCACACGCCGTTTTACATTCTTCACATAAAATTAATCATTGCGTCCGCACTTCTAATCATGGTTAGTTCAGGAAGAGCTTCCTGATGAGGGCGACGTTTCATGTACGTCGAACAGCTCGCCAGTCACCTCTGCTGAATCGACGATAATGTTGTCATCTGTCTACAGAGATGACAAAAATGGTACAACATTAACAGAGATTTCAGTTTGTCTTGCCGTACTTTGAATTTCTGCTTCATGCTGGTGTTACGAGATACCATGATAGTGATTCGAAGTGCATCAGAAGCCGGATATCTTAACATTCCATCCATTTTCAGACATTACAAAGAACCTGCAACCGTCGATTAAGAGCGCCTTTTCTTTGAACGCGTTCTGTTCGGAGCGTTTGAAGGAGATAGCCGAGAAGGCAGGTGAACAAGAGAACAAACCTGGCGGCTCGTTAGACAAGAATCTCAAAAGGTATTTTTGTTAGAAGAGTTTAGTAACGTTCTAAGGAAAAACTTGGGCGGGCAATATACAATGGCCGTATCATATTTAGTATTTCGCTGGAGAAAAGGTCGAGGACGGTTGAAACTATTTTCTTAAGCTATGGATCTTGGCTTAGGTATGAAACAAGTCAGACTAACAGCCTATATATAAATAAGAAAGTCTGTCATTGCATCATAATTACCGATACTGTACATAAGGCGTATAATTGCTACAAAAACAGTTGTTTCTCTTATCTATCCTCAAAATCTTGCTCACGCCCAGCAAGGTGGGTTACGGAAAACTGACATAGCTTAAGCTTATAGGGTTTGGCTAGCCGTAGCACAAAAGTACGAGTTTGCGCTAACCAAGCAGGTTGCCTAGTCTTTGACGTTTTCGGCTTTCACTATAGCTAACGTTAGGGTAAGTCCATTCTATAAAATCACATCATACAATAATTCAGACTTCTTCCGTCCGAAGAGACAGACGATGAGCACGTGTGTAGTGCGTTCACGGCCACCAGTAGTAGTCTGGCTCCTTCTCGTCAAAGTCTTGTTTCTCAGATGGCGATTGCTATGCAACATCAGCAGCATCAACCTACCACCTCATCACTTCAGGTGGCACTTTTCTTGTCGATCTCTTATATCAGCGAAATATCTTACATTTGGAGTCTCTTCTTAGAGCTTCCATTGCCTGCGCTGTTTATTTTTAGATTTCTTGCTCTTCTTCACGTATAAGAACGAAAGGGAGAAAAAATAATGAGGAGTAGTGACAGTAAATAGATTTGCTATAGCATATTTTGCTTGCTAATGCCATTTTTTCTTGCACAATAGTTGATATTTTTCTAAGTGGAGCGAATTCTTCTTTCTAATCTCACCACACTTTCATTTCCACTCCGTTCAAGAAGTAGTTACTGAGATTTCGTTTGTTCTCCTTGTTTTCCTTGATTGGGCTTATGCATTTTTCATCGCAGAGCATGTGGATGCAGCCGTCAGTGCTGTCGGCGATGCAGGACTATTACACACAAATGTCACAATATCCGAATCTCTCGCAGCTGAACAACACTGCCACGGCCGCACTGCTCGGACTCGGCACTACAGTACCGACTCCGTCACCAGGACTTTTCGGAGCCCTACAGAAAAGGTGTCATATCTTTGCTATTCTCGATTCTACCTGGGGTGCTGGCTCTGCTCATGTTTTTTAGAATGCGTTAGGTGTCAATCAGTCCCTAATAGATTAGCCACGTATTTCGCCTCATTAGGCATCGTATAGGTTATTTAATACTTATCTGATTTATATAGTGGCTTTCTGGTGTTTTATGATGTACCAAGTCAGTCTTTCATACTTTTTGACAAGTCTATTACTATTTTGCATGAGCACGGGATCGAACTACCGACCACGTGTGTATAGCAACGCACCCCACTGCACTACGCGCAGTGTATAGTTATAATAACTATTGAAAATCCAAATCCTTCTACCTAATCTGTTGTTTTACCGTGGTTTATCTTTTTACGATTGCAATCTTATGGCTATCCGACAACGCATTCATTTGTCGTCTGAGCTGTGACGAAATTCATTTCATAGAGGTTTTTTCACTACCTATTCATTTTGTGATTTTTGCACTTTTGCAGTTTTGTCAACCTTTTGACACGTGTTTGTCGTTTCAGAGCCATAAAAAGTAATAGTAACATTGTAACGTTGATAGGGTTAAAGACATTATTTCTGCTTACTATTTTATTTTTTTTCATTATTTATTTATTTTTCATTATTCATTATTTTTCTAAGTCCTAATTCACGTCTGAGTTTCGATCACTTCCTTTCAATTGCTTTTAAAATGGGTCGTTATTCCAAAGAATCATGAGAAAATGCTGTAGATTGGTCTTTACATTAGTTGTAAAATTGTAATTTATTTGATTACGTGAAGCAATTCTCCAATCGTTGCATTCCAGCGACGAACCGTCAGCCTTCACACCGAATCCGGTGCGACCAGCTTCGACCGTTCAACGACGAATCTCTCCAGGATTGTCAGCACCACCAAAGAAGAATCCCAGGACGGAAGACGAAAGCGAACAAGTGAAACAATTATCACTCTTTTGCTCTCCCTTTTTTTGGCTTCTTCAAGAATTTGTGCAAAAGGCGTTCTTCTTTATTTGTTGCAATTTTATCCAAATGGAACTACAAGCTACCATTGGTATGCCTGGGCATCGTGGACGGGAGGTGTTTCTGTGTACTAAACAAAGAGGAAGTTAATTTAAAGCAAGAAACCAAGATGATAAGACAACTTCTATTGAGACGAAACCTTGCCAAGATAACACACATCACTACCACCAGCTTGCCTTTGGTGAATATCTAGTTACCCTTTGGGTTAGCTTTAAGGCTACCATACTGCTAATACACCGCTTAAATGGATCTGGAACCCACTCTATTCTTCATAAGGATGACTTAATCAATCTTGACTTTTTCACTGCCTACTATAATTTTTTACCAAAGGGTATTGTGTGAAATACAGCCGCAATGATGCTGAGACATTCACAGAACTCCGGGCCGCAGGTGTCTGCGATGCGGATTGGACACGCTATTACCCTTTCAGGAGGCTAACGCGTTCACCAGTACACCATGCGGGTCCTCCTTATCGCCTTGTAACCTTTACCCGTTAGAGACCGGAAAGGGTATTAGTGTGTTCGATCCTCACCGCAGACACATGCCATCCGGAGTTTTGCAAATATCTCAGCATCATGTAGTTGCATTTCACATAATACCCTACCGTGGAAAATTGTGCTAGGCAGCAAGTGAAAAAGTTATCATTGTGATTTCGACTACACCCTAAACTTAACTGGGTTCATTGCCGATTTGGTCTCCCCAGATCAATCCCGTTGACGGCTGATTGTTGTTGGCACAGGTAGATAGAAAACTAGTCGAGAGAAAGATAAAACGAAGGACTCGCATGGCGTGGCGGTGAACATGCTTACCCCCTTTTCGGCAAGGGTAATAGCGCGGTTGTTTCTCACCGTAGAAACCTGCAGTCCGGAGCATTGCAAATATCTCACCATCATTGTGGTTGTATGACTTAGTCAACTACTGAGTTATTTCCGTTAGCAATCAAACACAAACAGTTGCTCTGCTATTTCTGGATTTTGAGCAGACTTCAGGGCGTTTATGGCAGATAACTTTCGAATATTTGTTGACGGTGTACTTTGGTGGTCGGATGACTGTCTATTTTTTACATCCAGTAACTTACCTCAAATGTTTTTTTTCATCGGCAAAGAAAGGCATTGGCAAGGATACCAATGAGTTTGTTCGCTTTATATGAATATCACCGAAGTGTATACAAGGTTGCTTACTTACCTGCATAAGTAGACATTTTCCGGAGTCGTACGGATACCAGCACATTTTACCTTGGTTCCTTTCATTCCTTGGCAGTCGTTGTCATTGGCAGTAGTATGTTTACAGCGTGGTGCTACACCTCGTTAGAATTTACCCTAGCTACTTTCATTTTGAGAGGACAGATCATCTGTTTAGTGGTTTATTTCAATTCTGAGCTTTTCTCTAGATCTCAATGACGCGACTCCTTCAAATGTCGGAAATGTGTAGTCCTTGGTGCTTTAGATGAAGATTATGCTTTGAAAGAGCTACTTATATGGAAAAAAGCTTTATGGATGATACGCGAAATTACAGGCGGAGTTGAAATGACAATCACCTTCTTAACTGTGCTCTCTACCAATAAAAAATTAGCAGAACGAACGAAGAATTAGGCCAAAATGTGCACGCGCTATTCGGTTATTGAGTTGATCGGTTGATTCGCCGATAGGTTCGAATGCAACATCAACTGATCCTTCTTTATGCATGTTCCATTTGCATTGTTTTCCTTGTTCATGGAACGTTCACAGTTCACATAGGTACACGTAGAGCGTGCTTTCTATATTCAAATAACCATCCATTTCTATTTTTCATAGAAATCTCCACTAGTGCTCAGTTCCAGTTTTTCTGTTCCTCTCGAAAGGCTTCATTCTCCAAAGCAATATAGCGGTGGACGGCTCGGGGACGGTGGCATTCCTCTATCTTACCTGTCTTCCAATAAGAATTGGCGCCAGAAGAGCTGTGTTTTTGTGATGAAGTTCCGACAGCAGTTGCTAAGACTAGCACTGGTGTGCCGTGCGTCGTTACACAAACATTAATAGAATGGAATTTCTTTTGACGCTGTCTTATGCCTTTTATGGTGTGCAAAGGCTAGAGCGAGGTGGTCTGTGTTCCTTACATAGTTCTATGACCCTCCTAGCTACCTCGATGTTATGCACACAACAGACTTATTTTTTGACATCCTTTTTCTTCAATTTTTTGAGCTCCATCCAAGCTTCTTTCTATGCATGGCATGGTAATCTTTCCGAAGATCTTTTGGAACATACGCAACAAACAAACCGCTCACACGTTGCTGTGCTATGATGTATGTGGCTTCCAACTCGTAGAAGCTAGGTTGCGAATGGACTGCGACCTGTGCTTCTCCTCAATCGCTTGATCTCAGCTAGTGCTTCCGAGTGAAAAATTCTAGTTGTTTTTTCCACTGGAAATTTTGGTGGTTGACACGGAAGAAGTTGGAGAAGAAAATTTCCGTTATCAGCTCAACATCATGGCAAGAAATTGTAGTAATCCCGTCATTGTTCGGCAGTTCTGATATCGAGGCCTTGTAGATCTCTATGGTATTTCTTTTCAGTTGTTCTTCTAGATGTTCTTCTTTAAGAACTCCGCACTGCAGCTCTTTAATCTGTGCGGTTGTACGTCGCTGTCTAAGAATCTTCACCATTTAATGTTTATAACCGGCACTTGGAGCACAAGTGGCCCAGTGGTTGGAGGCGCCCTGCAACACACACATGGAGTTGATCCCCGCGCCCATGGCCCATCAAGCCTTCCGTCGCTAAGGGGTCGCCAAATTGGTACTAGACTTGTCTAGGAGGATATCAGCACTGGCTCGATACATCGCTAGGCTACGGCGGGTCATTGTAAAGGCTAGATATGCATTCAATTACTTCCAAACGATGCTTAATGAAGTGGAATGCATGGTGCTCCCTCAGGGATTGATCAACGCCGAGAGCTTTATCCTTTTTTTATCAAGCGGTACTTATGATCCGTGTCCTCTTTGTTGTTGTGAGATCTGGCCCCACTTTCCTACGTTTTCGAGCAATTTCTTCGCGATGGTGAAAATCTGATCAGAACTTCCTGTTTGGTAGAAAACTGAGGTGTATTTGGAAAATTTTGGACTCCTTTGATACGAGTGTTGGTTCTCTGTTATTGGCTATTGATGTAAGGAGAAAATTCTGTTTAAAACGTCCTGGTCATAGAAGTGTCTTATTCTTCGTCGGCGATGGCAAGAGTTCCGTCCCAGCTTATCACCGAATCGAATCATTGCACAAGAAGGGTGGTGATAGTGTTTAGCGCAGAAATGTGGTACCATAAAAGTGCAAAGGTGAGTCCATCTTCTGCTTATGAACATATATATGGTCGATCTTCGCATCGTTTTGCAATTTGCCGGTTCCATGTTCACCAGCGACTTTCTGTTTTCTGGAAAAGTGTACTTTCATGGAAAGGATATGCTGTGCACACGAACACAAACACGCTATCCACTGTTTTCGGTTTCGTACAACAAGTTTCCAGTTCCTTTAATCCCTTTCCCCACCACGCTCTACTGTTCTGGAATTTCCGTCGAATTTTCTTACTGTGGAAATGAACATAGAATGCTTGCACTCTATTCTAATCAACTTAACATCTTGGTGAATTGTGATTGACAACGCTGATCGTTTTTGAGACGGAGAATGAAGATAGAGTATAGCTGGACAAGATGATAGAATCTCGTGTGGGTCGATGTGATGGGCAACAAATAGATGTACGACAAGGCATAGCTGATCGGCAATCATTGGCCGGATTTTCCGTCTCTATTTGAGGTCCCATCGTTAAATCGATATATATTGGTCTTTTTATCCTAGATGATCCTTATGGCAGCCTTTATATGATGTGTTGGTATGGTGAAGGTGAGCATCTTCAGAATAGAATGTACCGATCTTGTTGGTAAAGTGCGAAAGGCAGAAGAAAGAAGTTTGAAGAAATCTTTTCTTCTTCCTTCTGTTTTGGTTTATGTCCGAATGGCGACACTTCCCGGCATTGATTTATTGTGTCGCTAGACGTGCGAATAAAAATGTCGTACTCTTTCTCTGCATGGGTGGTCGTACTGAAGAATTAGCTCTACCTGCTAGTCGCAGGCCCGGAATAAACACTTAGGAATATCTCCCAGTCATGATGAGACCATATACGATTGGGATAGGGTGACAAACACAGTGGTACTAAAAGCAAGAACCTATTACTACTGGTGATCGCGTAAACTAGTTAGTATATGACAGGAATTAATGTCTTCCTTAACATGTTTGAATCTTTTTTTAATATTTTATATTTTTCTTCCTAATGGTCATTTTGATAGTTGATCGTTGTGGACGACGGTGAACTTGCCGAACCGGCTGCTCGACGTCAGGTGAATGTGAAGAAAGAACGTTGCACTTTCTGTAGTAAGGTATGCGCTCTTCCATTTTATTTCTTCTGAGGCCGACAAACACGGATCGTTTTTCCTCTTCGGCTATAAAAAAATTTATACCTAGCCCCATAGTTAGTAAAAGTAACCAGTAAGCTTATGAATTCCTACTCTCTTAGGTAGCTGAACGAAACTCTGTTTTTTGAAGGTCTTTTATTCTGTAGCTTTTTGTAGGTGACTTAACCATGAGTTTGATATTAGCTTTACCAGGACATTATCATTTCAATTTTGTACAGTTCCTCAAAATAAGTGCCTGGAGGGCGCTACTAAGTTCATTTTTTCGAACCTTGATAAGGAATAAGCTATTGTAGACTTGTGGGTATCAACAGTTTCCTACCATCTTCTAGAAGACTCAGTTTGTAAGGATGGGTTGTTATCGACTACTGAGTATGATACAATATTAATTTGATGGGTTTTTAGTTCTTTAGACTTAAATTGATTAATTCAAGAGGATTTTTCGAAATGTTTCCAAACTCTCCTATTTGTTACTGAGAGTTCGACGATCTGATCCATCGTGAGAAAAGTCCCGCTAAGTCTAATACCAGTGGAAAAAGTTGGAAACTTGAATTAGAACGCTGCAAGACTATAAGTTAAACTAGTACAAAAATAAAAATAAATGATAACTGACTAAGTCAGGTTTTCAGAATTCCCCCAAGTGTCATAGTTTACACTTGGACAAGGACTGTGGGTAAAGTTTTTGAGAGAAACCTGTTAGCGTCCGGTTTTCTTCATGAAACAAACGATCGAGTGCTAATTTATAACTAATATCTTAGCATGTCAGATTGTGGCCATGTCAGGTTCAGAGAACTGTAGTAGTTTTTAAGCCTACCGAACCTCGTAAATGATACTGTTTTAAGGATACTAGGATATAGTATTTCGTTCCAAGTTTGTATACGCCACAGTACGATGTTATAGGTGTTCACGAATCGTTCGAATTTGATTGTCCATTTACGAAGTCATACTGGTGAGAAACCTTACCAATGCAAGCTGTGCCCATATGCTTGTGCTCAGAGCTCGAAACTCACCCGACATATGCGCACACATGGACAACAGGGCAAGGTGGGTGATACGAACTAAATCTACAACTTTTTTTTTACTGCCAATTATTTTTTCATGCTGGGTTCGAATCGTGCCTGGGGTCTCAGTTTTACAAATATCACAGCATCATTGTGGTTGCTATGAACTCCGTTGACCGGCAAGCATTTGATTATGGTGTTGTCAGCGATAATTTGAACTCATCGGAAACGATGTTTGAACGACGTCAGGACGCGGAACGTAATCTTTTAGCGACGTCCTGACGATTTTTATTCTATTTAGCATTCCTAAAAGATGAGTATGAAGTATGAGTATATTGTTGGTTTTGTCGGTTGTGTACGTATCCAGTTAGAGATTTTGCAATAGGACCCAGAATCGGCTTTCTATTAACCTCGGCATTGGATTATGAATTCGTCGTTTTCTCTCGCAGCAATCGCGAGGTTGTTAAACAGCATACGTTTACTCCCATACAATAACACATATACAACACAATCGTAGCTGACGTTTTGACATAACAGCAACTATCCTCGCATGGGGTTCTAAAACACCAACGCGCAAACTCCTCTGGGCTTTTTGGATAAATGCCAAAAATCCTACAATGAATAGCAGGGGGAACGCCCCGAGATCACGCGTGATCTCGCCCCGTACCTTCGCATCGATCGTTGATGGGGGTGGTGCGGTCGTCAACCATATGCGACTTCGAGCGGCTGTTCTTCCTCGGTGGAAGACAGGTGGAAAAAAACGGTGGGTTTTTTCGAGAAGCCGTAGATCTTGTAATTCGATGTTTTTCTTCAATAAGCAGACACGAGGTTGTTATTATAGAATTCATATTATACGACCGTCTATGTATAACGAAAAACTGCATAATTTGCCCTAACGGTAGAGGCAGTGATTGCATGAGTTCGGGTACAGTCTATCTGATCTCTTGTAAAGCGTGCGGGGACGAATACGTTGGCGAAACGGGTAGACCACTCTGCGTACGTTTAAAAGAACACCTAGTCGCCAAACGTAAGCTAACTACTCCACTGGGTACGCATAGCACGCAGAAACATAACGGGGAAGATTTTCAAGTAGGAGTCGCCATCCTCACGCACGAATCGAGAACATCAGCGCATAAAACTCTTGGAGTGTTTTGGATCAATTCCAAAAATCCAAAAATGAACTGCAAGGAGGAGTGTCTTGTCATCACGCGTGACTTCGCGCCATATCTCAGGCTAATCCAGTGACCTGACACAGACACAGTTATCGCCCATGTATTACCCTGCGCAGTTGCTATCCATCAACTAACTTAAATACTTACAACAAATAAACGGTAGGTGTTTGAATGAAGCTGTTTCCTATGCGAATACAAATTTATTTGTTAAGTTTTATCTGCTGGGGTTATGAAGGTGTTTGACTGAGTAGATCGCATCTCAATTTGACCTTTCCAGTTTCTGAAGAAGGCGGAACTGCCGAAACGTCAGCTATTGTACCCTTATAAATTTTATAATAACAACCTCGTGTCTGCTTATTGAAGAAAAACATCGAATTATCAATCAATGCCGAGGTTAACAGAAAGTCGATCTTGGGATCCTGTATTTATCGTGCAGATTTTCATCTTTCTGTTTGTGCTATTGAAGTGTTTGACCTAGTGAGTTGCGTATTAGTGTACCCTTCCAGGCTCTGAAGAAGGCGATTCTGCGGAAACATCAGCTACGGTTGTGTTGTATATGTGTTATTGTATAGAGTTTTTGTATTACACACACAGTAATGCTGAGATATTTACAAAACTCCTGACCTCAGATGTCTGCGGTGGAGAACGAACGCGCCGTTACACTTTCCGAGAGCTAACGCGTTCACTACCATACCATGCGGTGCCCTTTGTTTCGCCTTTCTCTCAGCTGGTTTTCTATCTACCATTATCATCAGTTATCACCCGTCAACGGGATAAATCTGAGGAGCACAAAGCGGTAATGAACCCAGTTAAACTTAGGAGTGTCAAGTTCACAATTTTAACTTTTTCTCTACTGCCTATTAAATTTTTTACGGCAGAGTATTATGTGTGATATAAGCACAATGGTGCTGAGTTACTGACAGAACTCCGGACCGCAAGTTTCTGCGGTGGGGAACGAACTCGAAGTTTTTGTATTGTTTTTAGAAACAGGAGTAGTGAAGCCTAACTAAACGTTCAGGAGACGTATCGTTGTTACATCTGTCAGATGCCGTTCTCCGTCCATTCGACATTGGAGAAGCATATGCGGAAATGTGTTGTGAATAATAGTCATCAAGCTAACGCTCGTGATGCCTCTCCAGCAACAGGTGAGTTGTAGTTTTGGTTGTGCCATAGCTAGAGGCGTCCTACAGTATACACATATTCTTTGGTTCGATCTCTCAAATGGACAAAATGATGCCAGACGTGTCAGGGAGGATAAACTGATTTCATACATCAGTAGGATTCCCCAAGTTATCCTATGTGCCAAATATGCACTGATAAATTTCTAAAATGCCTAATGAAAACAATACATTGCTGATTCCTCAGAAATTACTTAACGCATTTATCTTTACGCCTTGTTAAGCTAACTGCCAGAAATTCTACTATATTTGGACCACAAGGTGGTGTTTCAGAACTTTTTAGGAAAAGGTAGAGATGAAAGATCGGCTGTGTTTTAGTAGCATAAAGGATTTCGCGTTTTTGGATATTGGATGAATCGGTTAATAATGAGTATACGTCGTCTTATCGCCTAATTTTCCTGGTTCCAGTCTAAGAAGGAACCACTGTTTATTGCTATTTGATCTCACTTGCCATAACTCTTCAGTATCTGATTCCTATAGGAGTCAAGCCCACCGAAAACCATAAACTCCAAGACATTCATATACGGAGAACTTTTGCTTAGTTTTGTAGACACGAAGTAAATACGCTAACAGATCATATGGTTGATGCATCTTCTCATCACAATTGTGAAATGTTCTGACTGATTTGAGCTCAGAATGACCAAGTCGAAAGAACGTGTAAGCAGTTTGATATTTAGATCGACCACGCCCTACTCCATCAGCTTTAGCAGATGCTACTTCATTGCTGGCGCTATCCAATCCTCCTCAACAGCCAACGTCATCGGTCTCACAAAGCAACCAAATCGTTCTCAACTGGTTACAGGTCAGTCTTCATTTATTCATGTTTAAAATTCATTTTGAGTGAAATCGAGTTAGCACTATCGAAACAGAATGTAGGCGTTGCTTAGAAAAAATGAATTCATGCCAATCCTCGCAAAAATGAGGCAAATCATGGGAATTTACCGCAAAAATGTCGCTTGAGACCTTGGAAACCGTTACGCACTGGCCTTCCTATCCGGAATCTGTTTTTTCCCAATAAAAGTTTTTTGATTCTATTGATATGTATATAATGCTGGGATATTTGCAAAACTCCGGACCGCAGGTGTATGTGGTGGGGAACGAACGCGCGCTGTTGTCCTTACCGGGGAGCAGCGCACTTCACCACCACACCATCCGGGTCCTTCGTTTTTCCTGTCTCTCAGCTATTGATTTGCATTTTCTCCTTGGACCAAACAGTACAGCAGTTAGGGTGGTGTGCGACCTAATCCAACCTCAACATACGAATTGACAAGTGTCGTCGCTGTAAAAAAAATTTGTCGTTGTAAAATCCTTCAATCAAAAAGTACAGAATTCGCACTGAATCACATAGAATGGGGTGGGGGTTCTAAGTACTGAAACTTAGTTTTGTTTAATTAAGCATGTGGAGATATGTTACCGTGCTCCAATGAAAAGGTACCATCGTTCTGCGTTCCGTTAGTTCTCTTCCAACTTACAGTAGGAACTCTTCATGGAGTATAGTAATTTTGAAGGTTTTCGATTGAATCCTCATGGTTTTTTTTTCGAAATTGGTAAATTGAACCAATTTGGGCATCTCCTTCAAAGTCTTTATTTTTAATTCATCTCCAATCTTTTCAATAGCGGCATAACATCTTTATGATGCCGTATTCTCTGGCCAAGATGAGCATGCGTCATATCGTTGACTTAGTCTTCTGTGTTTGTCTCACAATATTAAAGAATAATTTTTATCTATTCCACGTTTACGGAACAAACTTTTATTCAAATACTCAGCCATTTCGTAGATCTCATAAAGGGGAAAACTGCTGTTTTTTTTTCTTTCCAGGGGAAGAAAATAACGCCCTATTGAAGAATCATTAATTCGACTTTGGAGTCTTTCTTGAACTCGGTTTTTTCTTCGACAGTGTTTTTTGTCATAAAAGCTTCTGTGAAAAAGTTTTTATGAGGAAGTATCTCTCTGCCGTACTTACTTCTCTGGAAGTAATGCAATATTCTGAAGACCTGTATCATTCTTTCATGTGGTTTTCTCTTCTTCGCACATCGATCTGACGCAATTCCTGTTCCATCGTAACTCTGGAAACATCGTTATGTTACACATTACAGAAAATTAAATGCCTTCTGAAGGTCAGCGAAAACTCGACAAACAGCTTCCAGTTTTCTTTCGGCCGTTCCGTTAGTGTAAGTTGATAAAGATCTGATCCTATCTAGAGCAGAGTTTACATCGCGCTCCTCTCGCGGCACGTTCTCAATCGGAGTGTCTTTGATTCGAACGTAGGCAACTCCTATGAGATTTTATGAATACGGGACAGGGGTGTTGTCGGTGATGTGTAGACTTTCGAATATCGTCTCTGGTTTTCACCTTATCTGATGTTGTTACAACGTCTTTAAAAAATATGTTAATGCAGTATTTTTCTTTGTTGAAATTTCTTGGTTGGAAATCTACCAAAACGTGTCCCTATAGAAACCTCGACATTTTTTACACTTATCGTTTTCGTTAACTTTTTCCATTTGTTGTTGTCAGTTCACTTGTCTCGTCTGCCTTTGTCTGTGATCAGGCGAGCACCAACAAGGTTACCCCTCGTTCAAGTCGCATGCTGAAGTGGCCCAGTGATTTCTTCCCAATCGGAGGACAATAACTCCATCATAATCTTCATTGGGGCTTTTGATGAAGAAATGTGATCAGAGTTGATGCTCTTCTTGTTGTGGGCTTGGAATGGCATAAAACTCGGCAGTTGTCCTCTAAACTCAATCCGTATTCGGCTCATGTAATCCACGACATATTGCTACTATGAGGCATGGTCACTGTCAGCGTCTCCTGTTAACGCGGTTCAATTATCTGGGGTACCACTCACTTTTTTATATCAGAAAACATCACTCTCTCGATAGCATATTCGAAAATGCCCACAGCACATCTTGTTGATCTAAGTAGTGTTCAGGTTTTTGATATGTACATTACATCTGTGGATGCGTTATTTATCCTATCTACCAACCGGCTCGAGATGCTTAAAGCGCAGTGTATCTGTGGTGCTGTCATCTTGCACCTAATAGCAACACAGATCTCTTCGAAGAATTTTCCATAATTTCTTCAACTTTGTTTTCATTCAGCTGATTGATTTCCATCTTGTATTCTTTGGATTTTCTATCTTGTACTCCATGTTTCCTACTTTGTATTGTTCCTCATAAGCTTTCCTTTAATAGAGCATTTCTTCAGCTGTTTTCTCGCTAAACAGCTTCTCTAACTCGGCTATCTTGATTAGGGTATAAACTTGACCTTTTTAGTTAAATCTGTTCTCGTTTTCGAACGTGTTCGCCAATAAAGAATAAAAAATACTTTTCACTAAGCAGATTCAATTACTTGAACGATCTGTCCATGTCCCTCGCCCACGCTCTCCATTATTTTTGTTCCGAGATGCCCACTTCCGACTGATGATAAAGCATCTCTACTGTCATCTGCTTATCGCAATGAACACTACTTCATTTTCTCATTTTACTGCATCTTCTGATGGTCACAGGCACTTTGCAAGGTTTCTAAATTATCTGCCTTCCACGTTTATCATGCCTTGCTACTAAATTTCTCCCCTTTTTCCCCATGGTTTTCTACTGCTGTACTTGCTTTGAAATCTTCGCTAGCCACACAACCGACCATAATTGCCACTTGTTCTCATTATCACTCTTGTTTATCCGCTGCCATCGACGTTACCGTCCCGTGCCAACGGAAGGAACCTTGCGAGGTTGAAGAGAATTTCTAATGCAAATGACTCTAGAACTTTCAGATTCTGTCATCTTTAATGCAAATTGCAAATGTTATATGAACACGGAAAAATTCCTAACATTCAGGCTTTGAACGTGTCGCATGCGCCGATAGTGCAACCGCAGCAGTCGGTGAGTTCACTAGCGGCGAAGGAAGATTTTCCTGAAGTTGACGAGGATATGGAAGACTCCGAAGCGTCCGAACTAAACGAGCGGCTAAAGAAAGTAAGCTGGGGCAATATATATGATAGAAACAACACCGGACTAATTTGATCACTTTAGACTTTTGCGGATTTCTTTCTACTAGGAATAATAGGTTTCCGCACGTTACTATTAATTTCTAGGCTAGAAATCTCTTCCTTCGTCTTTTCTGTTGTATCATGAAAGCAATAAAAATCATTAAGATCAATACGCTTTTGCATTAATCATCATTCTAGTTAATGGTCTAACCGTTCTTTCTAAAGTGCAGCGCAGCTACATGTTTTCGTTTCCGTAATAACATCCATTTAGGAGGCAGTCGAGTCGTCCGCTGTCGCCGTCTGAGTAGTCCGCCTAGTTCGTCGCGTCACTGTCGTTGCTTGTTCGTAGATGGTTCTCAGCTGCTTCTTCTTCCGTCATATCTCATCTAATGTGAACAGTTTTTAGTTCTCTCGCTAGAGTAGTGACTCCGTTTTGGAGAACATTCAGTACTTCCTCCTTCACCTACTATGCTTAAGTTTTTGGCTATCTCGATTTACGTTTCTTTCACAAAAAAGAGTTTTACTCGAGCGTTTTGCTATGCTTTCTTTCTTTTCTCCTACTAAACACATAAGCTACTTGTGTCTACTCTCTTCTACATTTACGCAGTTGTTGTTTCTCATTCGTGTTTTCGACACCCGGTTAGCGTCTTTTTACTCTTTACTTCACAATTACTACACGTTACTGATCAGATTCGACAAATGAGCATATGCCTTTTCAGACTTCTATATGCAACTTTAGCTTACTTATCTTTTTGGTTAGTGCCCGGTGTAGTTATTCGGTGATGTGTGTCTGTGTGTGAACTCGTCCACTAAAATATCTTTGTTAGTACAAGGTGATATGTTTGCTGCTGCCTCATTTATTTACATGTGTACGTGGTGTGTATACCGTCGTGCGTAGTTCATAGGATTCGGCTAGATTCTCCGACCTCAGTGGATATCTCGTTCATGCGGTTAAGCCGCACGATATTGCCTATGCACAACTCGTCCGCCAGCATGTACGTGTTTACCGCGTTCCTATAGATGTGATAAAAGAGCCTCTTTCCCCAAATATCGTTCTTCTCAAGCACACATCGTCGCGTTTGAAATTAACATTTTATGTGTTTATAAATAGATCACTAACGGATTCACTAATAGAGTAATTTTCAATTCGTTTCGGTCTTGTACATAGCATTCTCATCCCGAATATCCTTCTGTATGTGAGTTTGTTTGCATGTGTGTGCGTGTGTGTGTATATATTTATCAAAATCTGTAGACCCGCTAGTTCTAACTTCTCTATTGTAGTAGCGGAATACGAAGCAAATATCCCGTTCGTCTTTCGCTCAGCCCTTAAGAACACCCCGAAACCTAAATCCTGGTTAGCTTGATAATTTCTCACCATGTTTCTTATTTCCGGTTTCGAATGTTTTACGCTAAACTCCCGGTGAAGTGTACAGAAAATTTTATGCTGTATTCCTTATATCCCAGTGTTCAAACTCTGCCTCATCGTCGTTCTTCTGGTGCCCGGTTAGAATCATCCATCCCGGTCATATACATAAAATCCCGTTTAGAACCCTATTCCCATTAAATGAACCGCGTGATACATTGGGTACCAATAGTCCCTTCATTCATGGTATTAAAATGTAATATTCGATCATTAATTGTATTTTTTAATTTGTGTCCTTCTTTGAAACAGTTAATAAAACAGTTAAGCGAATCGATGATTGTTTAGGCAAATCGGCCGAGAATGAATATGAGTAATACGAAAACGATGAAAAAGGAGAGAAGAATGATTCCTGACGATGACAGAAGTAGTTAAGAGAAGGGATACAATACAGTGTGAAAAAAAAACCCGAATAGATGATCCGACTGATACGCATATTCATGAAATTCTTACTATCACAAGAGAAGAAAGTAATCGTTCACTGTCCAGTACTCGATCATAAAAGGTGAACAATTACAGTAATCGGTAGAGACTTGCTTCTTTCCCTGTACTAGCAATACGACCTGAAATCATCAACAGCGCCAAAAAATTTTGCAATTGCACATTTCAGTCGTTGGATTGCTAAATTAGCTTGTTTACCGGATACGGTCCTGATATTCTACAACTTGACGCGTAACGCGACAAAAGTTAAAGCGTTTGGCGTTGTTTAGTCCCTTGAAAATCCTCCATACATCTAATTCGATTCGTAACTTCATAGAGAGATGATCGGATGCACATCTGAGCTACACAGCAGGTTCTGAATATTTTGACTCTAGCAGACAAATCTGGCGTCATTTTTTCGACTTTACAGCGATAGAAGACTAGCTTTAAGCGGGCTCTTAATTGAACCGGCTACCATTTGTATATTATAAGGGTACCTACTGAGACTGAGACCACTGCGCTGCACATACTTCAATGAAAATATACTACATACGATGAAAACAAGCGCTAAACAAGTTGAGCCACTGTGCCAGCGAAGTACGATAGATCAACGAAAAGAGAGTGAATCACATGTTGTTGGAAGTGCAAATAAGATTTGGGCGAGAATCTCGAAATTAACAATGTAATTGTCGACAAACAAACGAAATATGAGGAATTTGAAGAAATCAGAAGACGTTGCTATGCTATACTGCTCATTTTGATGACTACGTATAGTGTAGGTCGTCGAAGCTCAATGGTCCAAGTAAATTCTGTCGTATGATCGACGTCTTCGGACGCAACTCTCCTCCTTCTTCTTGTTGAGACTTATCCAATGCTACATTTCGTCTTGGAAAGACGGTTTGCACGTCAACCTGGAACACTTAAAGTTTCTTCAGCTAATATTATTTACAAATTAACTTTATCTTATAGATGAGGAACTTTTGACTAATTGATTACTACGAATAACTTCTAACGTTATAATGATTCTTTAATAAAAGGATTAAGTGTTCAGCGCTGAGCCACTTATCAAAGATGCGTTATTCTTTCAAGTTCATTCGTAGTATCGCAGATATGATTGGGTATTTGCCTGTAGATATTAGATATTTGTAGATATTGTAGATATTAGATATATAGATATTAGATAGATAGATATTTGTAGATATTGATCTGATCTGTAGATATTTGCCCGTGGCCTACGGGTATATAGAATCAGTCCTTCCAAACTAGTCTACCACGAATTTCTCAGAGAATTAAGGAGAATAGGATCGAGCTAACGACCATGTCGTAAGGGTCCGCTGAACCACTGAGCTCCACAATGCAATGGTCGGAATAAAATTAGTAAGCCTATTAAAGCAAGGACAGCATAATAAAACAAGCCTAGGAAAGTTGTAAGTAGTAAGTGTAGCACGAACATCAAGCGAAATTAAATGTTGTCAAGTGTTAAGTAGAAGTGCAGCGCACTACTTAGAGGTGCCTTGCAATAAACGCATTCCATCACATCAATTATTGGTACCACACTTTTCTGGGGAGGATTGAAACAATGACTTAATACATCAGCAGGCCACCACAAGCCATTGTGTAGAGCAAATTTGCAATCGCCCATCTCCACGCCAACGCTAAAAGCGTTACCCTCGGTCTTCATAGAGGTTCACTATTTTTGCTACAGCAAAGAATCGCTGAAGAACGCTGTTTGGCTTACCTGCTCTTCATCACCATTCATCCTTTCCAGTTGTTTCTCCTCTGTGATATATTCGTTACCTCCAGATGCTCTCCTCAAGTTGTCAATTTCACCTAAACGTATCGCCCGTGATACTATGGCTGAAACAGAAAACTCTCAAAAACTTGTCCACAGCGGGCAACACGTAGAAATCTGTTAAATAAGCCAACTTTTAAATCTCGGTGTAGAGCTAGGAAGCGATGTTTGCCGGTGTTCCGATTTTCGTTTGCAGAAGATTTTTGGTCTTTGTCGTAAACATGAGAATATCACGCAAAGTCCGAATAACAGAAAAAACGCTAAAAGTTCACGCATTTAAAAAGTATGTTTTGACCACAGACATTCTATTTGGTAGTTAGTTGTATTGCAATGGAATGAGTACAAATAAATACTAAATAATGCCTTTACTTTTTATTTACTGCTTGTCTTTTTTTAACGGTAGGGTATTATGTGAAATATAACAGTAATGATGCTGAGATATTTGCATAACTCCGGACCGCTGGTGTCTGCGTTGGAGAACGAACGCGCTATTACCCTTTCCGGAGCTAACGCGTTCACCACTACACCATGCGACTCATTCGTTTCGTCTTTCTCAGCCGTGTTTTTATATTTCACAAAATACTAAACGGGTTAAAACTACTTTCGGGTTACCACCACTGGAATTTAGGCAGACTGGAATCGCGTCACTTGATACTTCAAGAAAAAGACAAAAACGCGTTCATGCTTTATTGGAACGGTGATTGGAAAAAAATCAATGCACGTTTCATTCTAAAGGATTTTGGTAAGCTCTGACATTCATCCAGAAAACCTCCACTTTTCTTTGTAGACGAAATTTGCTGCCTATCGGCGAAGACTTTATTCTCAATCAATTATCTGTACGATCCTGCTTCGCACACTAAGGAGATCATATCTGTTCTTTCATTCGATCCGTTGTTCCGCAACCCTCATCTACAAAGGTTGCGGCTCTTCATGTAGGTTAAGCTGCCAAATGAGAATTTTTTGTTCCTCATTAATATAGTGGCATATCGGTCAAGTCAGTCCTAACGTCTTTCTTTACCAAAGGCAGTCGCTTGATGGAATTTCCCGAAGAGGTATGATATCATTGAAGACTTATCACAGATATTTGGGTTGTTTGACATGGGGTGTGATCGAACAATAATCATTGTAGGTACAATGATTATTGTAAAATGGTGGAAATAGTATATCTCGTAACATTACGCTTCACTAGTCCCATATTGGTGAAGTTTCTATGACTAACTCGCAAAAGTATGAAACGTTTCCGATTTATTCCTTTCATTCTTATTGATAAGGCTTATCTAAGCCGTATTAAAAAGTCAGCGAAGCGGATAGCACAGTGGTAGTGATGTTCGTCGTTACGAGCATGGTGCTGGTTCGATTCTGCTCAAGGCCAACCAAACCTCTCATTGTTTCGGAGTCGGAAAATTGGCACCGGACTTGTCTGGAAAAAAAAACGCTCTCTGCAATCCTCTGCAATCTAATTGGGAACGCTCCATTATGGCTATACCAGGGCTCCAGGGAGAATTACGCGACCAGCATTCTTCCACATTCAAGATAAAGTGGAAGTCTTCAAACCCCAACCGAAGCCACGCGTAAAAGTTGAAAGATTTTCGTGGATCGAATCAAATGCGAGGAAACGAATCGAATGTGGGAAGTGCTGGGAACCGAACAGAAAAAGTGGAGACGAATCAAGTGAAATAAAATAAAAATAAATAAATAAGAGGTCAGCATCGCTCAGATTGTTGTACATCAGTTCATTATGGTTCTACAACATGATGATTGTACTTGATTGATTGAAGCACTACGGTACATTTCACAACAATTTATCTCGATAAAGTGCGACATCGAAAAAGCCTTCAACTCATTTGCAACTGAGCTAGTTTGTTGACAACTGTCGAAAACTCCCAGGATCGACTTTCTATTGACCTCAGCATTGGAATATGAATGCGTCGTTTTCTTGTTCAGCAATCGCGAGGTTTTTAAACAGCATACATTTACTTCCATAGATAAACACAATACAATAGAACACCAGCTGACGTTTCGGCAGTATCCCCTTCTTTAGAGCCTGGAAGGGTATACTGATGTACAATCTACTAGGCCAAACGCTTCAATAACACTTACAAAAAGACGAAAGACTCTTTGGTAATTGCATGATCAACAACTTCTCAAAAAGTCACCGCTTTTTACGCGATTTCCAATGAGGAAGTTTAGAACAGCTGATTATAGTCGCATTTGGTTGATGACCGCACCATCCCACATCAGAAATTGATGCGAGCATACGGGGTCAGGTCGCGTATGACCTCAGGGCATTCGTCCCTGCTATTCATTGTAGGGTTTTTGGCATTGATCCAAAAAGCCTCTAGGAGTTTTCGCGCTGGTGTTTTGGACTCCTGTGCAAGGATATTGACTTATACTTCAAAATCGTCTCCGCTATGCTTTTGTATCCTATGCGTGCCTAGTGGGGTGCTTCGTCTTAGTTTTCGTTTGCCATCTAGGTGTTCTTTCATATGGATACACACAGGTCTGCCCGTTTCGCCCGTTTATTCATCTCCGCAATTATTAGACGGCGACACTACCACCATCTCCTTTCCCAAAAAGGTTTTTTAGACAGCAGGACCCTAACGATGGAGTAGACATAAAATTCCGCATGTTTTCGGACGGCGTTCTCAAGACTCTTAATCACTACCGTGATAGAAAGTTTATCTCTAACCTTACAGCCGCACAAAAATGTGGCATGCGAGAAATTAGAGAATTAATAAACTCGAAAACAACAAGATTGTCTGTTAGTGCTAAGGGGGAGAGTTCGTAGATATTCCTCGCCAGCTGGATGTTGAGATAACAGAGGGACATCTTAGTGATGCTACTCTCTATCGCCCATCCTCTGAAAAGGAATATAAAAGTCAATCGCGAAAGCTAAACAATCAATGGGTCAGTGTGGCAAAGGCTGCGGGTTTAAAATCATCGGTTATTTCGCACTTTAAAATCGATAAACCAACATGTCCCGTCCTATACCTACTTATTTAAACACATAAGTTGGTATCACCTGATGATCACGCGTCAACCAATCCGTCATCATTTAAGGTTAGACCGATCGTCAGCTGTGTAGATGGGCCAACGGATAGAATAACCTGGTTTTTAAGCCTGATACTTACCCAGTTGCTTAACCACATTCCAGCTCACCTCACAAACACCCAAATGTTCCTAGAACGTCTACGTAACGCGTCTCCTAATAACGCGTACGTGATGGAGTCTTTCGACGTTACCGCACTGTCCACCAATGACTCCGATTGACTCCGCAATGCAAGCTATCTTCGAACATCTTGTTGAACATGAAGGACGAATATATATGCATGGCTTGTCCATCCAGCAGCTAATGGCTCCTTAAAGGAGTGCCTAAACTGCTCGATTTTCAGATGGTCTGAAAAATATTTCGCGCAAATAAGAAGGTTGGCAATGGGACAGCGATTGGCACCAAGCCTTGCCATTGTGTTTATGTCTAAGATAGAAGCCCCTATTCTCGATCTCCGGCCACTACTCTACTGCTGATATGTAGATGATTGTTTTGTCGTCTTCTCAACGTAGGAGGAGATGGACAAATGCCTTGAATTATTGAACGAGCAGTCCGAGTACATAAAGTTCACCCGGGAGAAACCGAGAGAAAACTGGCTTCCGTTTTTGGACGTCCAAATAAACCTATCAAGTAGCGGTTACCTGACAAAGTGGTATCGAAAGCGAAGTAACAAGATCATCCTCGTTCATTTCCTTTCTTACCACCCTTCACACGCAAAGAGAGCGATTGTGAGAAACATGTTTCGAACAGCCACCTCTGTGTGCACTATCAGGGAAATAAAGGAAGAGTCGCGCGACTTGGTTCGGCAAATAGCCATCTCCAATGGCTTCGAAATACTAGTAGATTGTATATCAGTATACCCTTCTAGGCTCTGAAAAAGGCGATACTGCCGAAACGTCTGCTAGTGTTGTATTGTATTGTGCTTCTCTATGGAAGTAAATGTATGCTGTTTAAAAACCTCGCGATTGCTGAAGAAGAAAACGACTGTCGATAATTTCGTGATAGATCGAGCACCAAAGGAATTAGAACTAGAGGGAGTCCTCTCTAAAATTTTTCCTTTCTTAAAATTTTTCCAAGTTCATAGTTTTGAGAAAATCAACTGAAACCCTGACGGTCGTAAACGAGATTCATGCAGTGGGGCAATAATCGCCTCAAATTGCAAGGAATCCTTCATGCTCACTGTTTCTCCGGTGGTTCGCAAAAAAGGCGAGAAGGAAAAGTACTGGTGAATTTTAAAAAATAGGAACTTTACCTTCTCAAAGTATAAAGCCCTATAGCTTCTTATCAAAATCTGTAGGTCCTAGCGATTTTCGCTTCACTTACAGTAGTTCACTATGAGCTGCTAATCGTTGGTTTAACGTTGAAAAGCTGGCTTGTTCCCGGGAGATTACATATTGAAATTGATGCATTTCGTCGTGCTACATGTTGATTTCTGTGCAAATGAATGAATTTCTTATAAAAAAAACCGCTAACCAATACATGTGCCATTCACGAGAAAAAACCCGATCATCATATCCATTTCCCCTTCTGGTCGATTCACATATGTCATCTTGCGCTCTTCCGTCATCGTGCTGAAAAAAGCCAGTAGAAATTTTGTTATACGTGTATTTTAAGAAACGCATAGTAACATTTCTTCATAGTTCCCCTTTCAAGCCACTGCTAAAGTAATAATAATCTGTTGATACAATGTTGTTAGGCAAGGCAATATGATTTTTCTTTCAGACATAACGACATTTACTATGGGAAATCATAAGTGTTGAAACTCATCTCTAATGCAGTTTTGCAGAAAAATGTGCTTAGAAAAGGAAAAAAGGAGGTCTCATAGTAACAAACAAACATTTTTGCTACAGATGTGAAGCGCTCCGATATCTGCCCATGTGATGAGGTTGGCATAGAAGGAGCACGTTGCTGAGGCTCTACGGTTTCTTCATGCATTGGACACGATGCGGCTAATTAAAAGTCAAAATTTTCTCGGAAATTAAGAAAAATTTTTTCTTAGAACGAGTAAATGTTGTTGGGGTAGAATAAGGTTAGGCACTAAAAGAAGTCGGCGTTATTCAACTCTTCTAAGCAAAACTCGTCGTTGAATGTCATTGAACTATGAAGCCCACTTAACTCATAGAAAGTGCATAATAGAATATCTTATGACTATGAACACGTGGTCACTATAATAAGTCTGCCACAACCGACTTTCTATTAACCTCGGCATTGATCAAGTAATTTTCTTCGTATTTTTGTTGAGCAAACGCGAGGTGTTATTATTCTTTGTTCACGAATAAACTGACGTTTCGGCGGATTTCGCCTTCCTCAGAGCCTGGAAAGGTCAAGTTGATAGCAATCTACTCGGCCAGACGCCTCCATAACCAAACAAAGAAACCCCAAACCAAGATTTCAATCACTTTGAACACAGCTTTGCACACTCACCGCTTCCTATGAGGTCTCCACTAAGTATGTCACGTAGAGATCAACCGCACAGAAATCACGTGGAAGTATAATGTGCCCCTCACATCAGAAAAGCAGTTTTATATACTGCCCTATATCACGCGTGATAATGAGGCATTCTTCCCTGCGGTTCATTTTCGGATTTCTGGAATTAATCCAGAGTGCCTTGAGAGTTTTTCGCGCCTGTGTTCTTGATTCGCGTGCGAGGATCGTGACACATACTTCGAAGTCGTCCCCGTTATGTCTCTGGGTCCTATGCGTGCGGGCTTTTCTCGGGTGAACTTGATATACTCTGACTGTGCGTTTAACAATTCGAAGCATTTGTCCACTTCCTTTTGTGTTGAGCAAAGGACAAAGCAGTCGTCTACATACCTACAGTAGAGTAGCGGCCCGAGATCAGTCACCGGTGCTTCCACCTTAGACATAAGTGCAATGGCAAGGCTNTTTGTTGAGCAAACGCGAGGTGTTATTATTCTTTGTTCACGAATAAACTGACGTTTCGGCGGATTTCGCCTTCCTCAGAGCCTGGAAAGGTCAAGTTGATAGCAATCTACTCGGCCAGACGCCTCCATAACCAAACAAAGAAACCCCAAACCAAGATTTCAATCACTTTGAACACAGCTTTGCACACTCACCGCTTC